CGGTTTAGGGGCGTCCCAAAATGTAGCTTACATTTTTGGAGGTTCCGTTTTCTTAATGTTGTCCCATTCTTCCTCTAGACCTTTCTTCCTTCTCTTCGCAACACGTCTCTTCGAGCCACTCCCGAAGAGATCTACGACCCCCGCCCCCTCGTCGGGTGGACGACGCTCGTACGACCCCCCCCCCCAAAGCGTGTTTCAGACGTTTCCTGCAAAGGGTCCTCAAAACCCAGAAATGGGGGGGACCTGTCTAAATGTAAGCTACATTTTTTAGACCCCCCCCTCCCCCCAAAAAAAACCTTGAAAAATGTAGCTTACATTTAGACAGGTCCCCCCCCGGTTTTGTAGAGTTGGCCACACGAAAACACGGCCCAATCAGATGAGAGCACAGAAAGGACAAATGCTAAACATCGCTTTTTGGAGCGGATTGAAAGCAGAGTGCCTAATTAGCCCAGCTGGAGACCCCAATAGCAAGATACAAACCGGGACAACAAGAAAAATCTGGAAACAGCTGCTGTTTTCAACACATCGACCATCTCTTCCTTGGACACCATCATCACATAACCGGGACACCATCACAAAATGACCAGGGCACCATCAAAACATGACCGAGACACCGTCGCAACATGATTGGGACACCATCACAACATAACCGGGACACCATCACAAGGTGACCGGGACACCAGCATGACATGACGGGGACACCATCACAACATGACCGGGACACTATCACAACATGACCGGGACACCGTCACATGACCCGGACACCATCAAAGCATAACCGGCACACCGCCAAAACATGACCAGGACACCATCACAACAGGACCGGGACACCATCAAAACATGACCGGGACACCGTCACAACATGAGCGAGACACCATCACAACATGACTGGGACACCGTCACAACATGACTGGGACACAATCACAACATGACCGGGACACCATCACAAGGTGACCGGGACACCAACATGACATGACGGGAAAACCATCACAAGATGACCAGGACACCATCACAACATGACCGGGACACCGTCACATGACCCGGACACCATCAAAACATAACCGGCACACCGCCAAAACATGACCAAGACACCATCACATGATCGGGACATCATCAAAACATGACCGGGACACCGTCACAACACGACCGGGACACCATCAAAACATGACCGGGACACCATCACAACATGACCGGGACACCATCAAAACATGACCGGGACACCCTCAAAACAGGACCGGGACACCATCACAACATGACTGGGACACAATCAAAACATGATCGGGACACCATCACAACATGACCGCGCCACCATCACATGATCGGGACACCATCAAAACATGACCGGGACACCGTCACAACACGACCGGGACACCATCAAAACATGACCGGGACACCATCACAACATGACCGGGACACCATCAAAACATGACCGGGACACCATCAAAACACGACCGGGACACCATCACAACATGACTGGGACACAATCAAAACATGATCGGGACACCATCACAACATGACCGCGCCACCATCACATGATCGGGACACCATCAAAACATGACCGGGACACCGTCACAACACGACCGGGACACCATCAAAACATGACCGGGACACCATCACAACATGATTGGGTCACAATCAAAACATGATCGGGACACCGGGACACCAGCATCACATGACCCGGACGCCATCAAAACATGACCGGGACACCATCCGCCCACCAGCTCTGACGGTGACCCGACGGCGCCCGTCCGCCTATTAGTTTTGCAAGACCCCATAGCATGGCTATTGGGGAATAACCAGATCTTGTAACCTGATTTGCTACTCAACAAATTGCCCGAACACATGTTCGACGAGAGAAATCAGGGCGCTTCAATCATTCCTGAATGCATTGGCATGGAATTTCGCGTCACCTGCGTGGCTGAGTGAGCGAAGGACCCTGTCTCCGCCTTTATGACACACATGATGTCGGCAGATTTGGAGTATGAAAACATCAGGCTTGATGTGAAGCGCTGACTTCTGGGAAAGTCCCAACGTCAAGATACCACAAGTCGCCCTGGCTCTGTTGCCTTGGCCGACTCCGCGTCGCTTCACCTGCCTGTGGCACCGGAGAGTCACCGGTGGATGGGTTCCTTCCACCCTGCGGCCGCCTCTGCGGCCCGCGCCGGCGCTGTTTGGGCCGCGGATTGGGGGGCCATTAGCCCAAAAGTCTCTCAACCATGACACACACCGTCGGGCGCGACGTGCGGGGGTCGCTGACGCTGCACCGTTCGATGCACAAAGCGGTCGATTCTTCGGTCACTGGGCGCCCGAGCTTTGGGAGCCACGTGAGGTCTGCCCAAAGACTTTGTGGAACCATGTGCGCTGGGTCTGGCGATGCCCGCTGCGGGCAGCTCGGTCATTCTCCGCGAAGATCTTTGCGAATCGCTTGAGCCACAAAGTTCGCCTCGCAAAAAATGACTCGAGCCCGCCCAAAATGCCCACAGCGTGTCAAGAGGTCACGCCCAAAACTGCTTCCAACGTCTGCGCACAAACCACACCAAAATGCGCAATCCTGGCAACGATTGACTTGACAAGGTCTCCGTAATTAATGACCGAAACGATTTGCAGCATCAACTTGCCCTCAAGCCCCACAAAATGAGACGTGATCACGATGAGGCACAGCCCTGCAAAAATGCATACGGCACAACTTTAAGCTTCATGTTAGTCTTGAGAGCTGGCTTCTTATATTGGGTGTGGGGTACAATGTTGGGTGGTTCGCGTTTTCAAGTTTCGTCAGGTTCCTCTGCTTGTCTTCACTGTCAGTACCTGTGGACACTACGAACATGCACACATTTGACCAAACATGAAGTCCACCGTGCGAAACCTACCTACTCGATACCAGCTCGCCAGCTCGCTGCCTAACTAGCAGCAGAATCCGATCATGGCATCTTTCTCCACAAAAATTGCATGAAATCATCACACCAAAAGAGGAGACAACAGTTGACTTCGTCAACCTGTGCCCCTCACCTCTCATGCTCGCACCGTGCACCGTGACTGCGTCGCAAGAAGCCTTGCAATTGGGTACTGAAATCACCATTTGAACATCCCCTTTCCAATTTGGGTAGATACTATATATATATAATATAGGCAACCTCCGGGTTCATACTCTACAGAATAAAGGTCCCCATTTCCAAAATTATTCAAAAATGACAATTATCAAGCAGGCGCAAGGCCTATACATTAACAAAAACGATATGTGTATGTATATATATATATTATATATTATGCACATCCGTCACATCCGATGAACTCTCCGATGAATTCTGCGATGACTTGTCCGAGGAAACCTTCCAAAAGAAGCTGATAAAGTTCTCTGAGGAGTTTTGACTCCCTGGGGCATCAAAAACACAATCAGAGATATTGATCGGATCTGAAAGTCCTCAGAACATTTCAATCCCATCGAATGCGATCGGATTGAATATTCCGGTAAGTAAACAAGACCTGAATCAAGGACCATCCCCTGTGACAAAAAACTGGAACAGCACCTAGAATCTTTATTAACTCAAACTCCCCATGTACACACAAAAGCCTAACAATACCTAGACATCTATGCCATACAATGCCTAGGACCTAGACTCTTTCAATAATCAAACTCCTCATGTACACACAGAACTTAAGCAAAGCCTCGACATCTACACAATCACAAACCCCATCTACACAGAAACCCTAACAACATGTCAACATCGAAATCACATCTCCCAAATCGCCATCTACACACTGAAGCCCCAACACCTGAACTTACAAACAATCAACTCCCCATGTACACACAGAGGTTGTCCAACAGCTGAGAAAAAAAACACGCGTGCATCTCGGTGCATCTCGGTGGTTCGAGCTATGAGGCACGAGAAGTTGTCCACAAAAACTGCCACCATGAGGCACCATGGTGTGTCTCTGGTTTACTCCGTTTTCGGAGTCCCCAGAACACGTGTGGAAACTCGCTATTAGGTTGGAGCCAATGGAGGGCCCAACTCGAGCGAACTCGGCAGCCTTGAGTCCGCGTTTGCGGGTCAAGTTGCGGCATGTGGGCACCCTGTGCGTTTTCCGCCTCTCACCGGATGCCCAAATGTTTCTTGATGAGCTGGAGCTCGAGATTCGAGTGTTTGAAGAACCTGCCAGGAAGACGGTGGGTGGACATGCAACAAAAGAGGGGAAAGCAGGGCCGAAGCAACAGCAAAGAGCTCGGAGGGTCGGAGCGGGTCGGAGCTCCTCACCTCTTCATCTCTCGAGCCACCAGGAGCAAGTCGGCAGCCCGCGCAGAGCTGTTCAATCTAGGCAGTCCGACAGATTCGGTCCGGTCAAGCTTTCCAGGTCAAGGTTTGCAGAAGAAAAGCCTTCTGTAGCTCTCTGGCACCATCAAATGCTTAGCTATCAGTGTCACTGTCACTTAGGTCAACATCCAATGTGCTAATCGGTGAAGCATCAGATCCTTTTCAATCCGTTCTGGCCAAACAGGACACCAGCAAAACCTGATCAGGCATGACAACATCAACGAGGTCCCACCTGCCTCAAGGTGCCGTGCAAAAACTCCTGGCTGCGCGGAGGCGGGCGAATGCTCCTTTCTTCTGGCAAGCGGCCACCAACGGCAAGGAACGTGCGCACCATGCCGATACACTGAGACGATTGGATCTGCGGAGTTTCGTTTTCCTTGTGGCCGTGGTATCACCTATGGCCCTATGGCCCCCAGCTGGAGACGGCTGTCCAGGCCCCAGGCGGCATCGATCACAAGCAACGAGCCGCGCGTGACTTTGCAAAAAGGGTCATGCTCGCTGCAACTGCCCTCGAAAGCTCCTCGAAATTGATGGTCCCACTCCCATCCATGTCAAGCACCTGCTGCAAAAGGACACTGACCGGTTGAAAGAAGTGAAGTTGATGAACAAATCTCAGCAAAAGCAGTGTTCAGGTGTAAGCCAACACCTATATTTACAATCATATATATATATATTGGAGTATATTGGCCTCACCAATGCCCAAGAAGCCATAGCAAATGGCCGTTTAGAACGCAGATGTCTTTCTCAATATGTTCTTTCGTCTTTGATGTCTTTCCCGACCAATCTCTGACCTCCTTAGGTCCGTTTCTTCACTCATCCGAAACCAAGGCCAATCTCTTTCCTCCTTCGACCTCTCCGTGGAACCTCAACAAGACGACCTCCCCAACGAATCGCTCGGCGCAGCCGGCCGCGGAAGGGAGATGACGAACCGTTTCACCGACTTCCGCCCCCGTCCGCGCCGCTCCCGTCGCGCCGCGTCGCCGCGAACGGTGCGGTGCGGCTTCGCCGCGTGCCCGAGGTGGGCCTCCAGGAGGTACTGGGCCTCGGAGGGGTCCACGTCCACGGACTCGAAGAAGTCCAAGACCACCGCGGTGGCCGTCTGGCTGCGGATCTCCTTCTCGGGACCGGGTCGGACTCGGTCCGGGTCGGGTCCGCTGGCAGGCACGGCAACGGCGGAGAACCGCGAAGGAAAGACGAAGAGCTGAGCAGCTGAGCTGAGCAGCAGAAGGAGGTGGGAGAGTCGCGGGGAGAGCGGACAGAGTTGGGGGCCCGAGATGGGACGAGGATGGTGGGAGATATGAGATGAAGAGGCGTATTGGCCGTACCGGTTTGTGAGGAATGGAGGGGGAGGAAAAGAAACACAGTCAAGAAGTCCTCGAGCGATATGAAACCAGAATGGTCTTGGTCGATTGCTTGGAAGACTCGTCGAGCTTGTAGAATCCTTGTGGCACAAAAGCAGCTTAGCAGCTTAGCCCTACTGCTTCTTTTTCGCAACCGGTTGGACAAGAGAACGGGCGCAGCTAGACCACCAAATGGCCAGAGCCCTCCGTCTCGTCTCTCCCGTCTCCAAGCGGCTGAGAGCGGGTCTTCAGATCCGACGCTTGCCGGGACACGGTCTCGACGTATGTTCCTGACGCAGTCGGTGCAGGTCGTCCGTTCGTCGTTTCGACCGACCGAGCGAGCGCATCGTGCGCGCGGCACGCTGCACGCGTGCGGTGCCCACGGCACTTTGGCGTGCTGCACCATGGAAGAATCACTCAGAGGGGAGTGAACACACAGCCACGCGGATGCACGGTCAGGTCCGCTCCGCTTTGCTTTGGGTTGGTGCGACGGTGAGTCCAGGTTTGATCGCTACGTTTCCGTTTGACTCCTGTGATCACGTTCATCAGCGCGAAGAAGCCTGGCGAACACATCGAGACGAGACGTCAAATCTGTAAGAACCACATGTCCCTCATTCACCACACATATCAAACATGGGTGATTCCTTTGCTGGCCAAGCAAGTAGGGAGCAGGACTCACATTGTTTCTTCCCAGGTGATACCAGGTGGAGAGGCACAAACCATCACAAACCCCATGCTTTATGGGCTACCTGACACGTCGGCCGCGCATGGTGCGCTCTGCACCGACGGTCCAATCGATCGGCGGGCGGCCAGCCCTCCACGCCCTGCGAACGATTGGTAGGGCAAGGTGCAAAAGCCCAGGTAGACAATAAATAGAACCGCGAAGGCGGGTGAAATGGTGATCAGCGGCTGCACGATGTCATTCCAGTCCACTCCTAGTCACAACATCTAACAACTCAACACCCCAAGAAAAGCTGCGTAGACACAACATGTAAGGGTGACATCAATCTTGCATGGTATATACTCTCCCTAGAACTAACATGAAAGTGGAAAACCACCTGTTTGTAGTGGAAAATGGTCTTCTAAGGGGTTATTCTCCACTTCCATGTTAGTTCCAGGGAGTGTAAATGATTGGGAATCACTGACCTCTCACACCAACTTGTAACTTGGTACCAATCGCATCAACCTGTCCTCCACTCAATGCTTGCAGCACCGACAGCATACCTTGTGAAGCTGAAGCATGGGCAAAACGATGCAATGACAATTTCCGCTTGTAATCGTTTTTTTGGATCAAGATTGCTTGACTGAATACGCGGGAGCAGTTGTTTTCATCATGCAACCCCCCCCAAAAAAAAACCACTCGCGATGAGCAACTCATCCTTCGATCGGATGCCACCGAGATGCTGGTGAAGATGCCACCCCACCACCTCTCGAGCGCCGTGTTCGCCAAGCTCTCGGGGAACTCCAAGCGATGCAGCTTGGCTGCTTGCGTGGTGTAGATGGCCATGACCTCGCAACGTCGCGACGCGACGCGAAGAATGAAGCGACGCAGTCTAAACCGTGGTACGTGCGGAATGTGTGACGCCACAAGCAGATCGAAGGAAGCAAAAGTCATCGAGTCATCGGATTTCTCTGAGCTCCAGGCATAGAAGGTCATCAGCAACAAGCCAATACTCCATAAGAACGTTCGGAAAGAAAGGATCAAACAACTCACCTGCAGCCAAGTGATTTCAGCCAAACTCAGAAATCGCGTCTTGATACTGTTGCTCGAACGTCCTACAACCCAGTTTCACTTGGCTTCCTACTATGAGCTGCAACTCCTCAGCATAGCGGATGAAGCGCACCAGCCGCATCACCTCACTCGTCCAACTGAAATCGACACAAGTACGAGCCACGAGGGCCAATGTCATGCTTTTACCTGACCAACCTCCCACCAGATGCCGTGTCCATGTGCACTTCACCTGACCTATCCACCTCTTGACCTCTACCAGGCCATGGAAGGCCTGGCCTGGCCTTCCCACCACACCCCGGCCTTGATGCCTCGCAGGATCCGGATCGTCCTGCCATCGGTGCGTCGGCGCGTCGGTGCGGTCGGTCTCCACCGGTCTCCACCTGGATCCCTTCACGCCGGTTTTGGAGCATCCGTTGGTCTTGGAAGATGATTCAATCCAAAAAAACACCAGCTTCCTGTTGGTCTTTGGAGTTCCCAGTCTCACACTCCAAATGGCTATAAATAGGTGCTTGACTGAGAAGCAACACTTATTACATTATATATCATCTGCTTTGAGCTTTCGGCGCCTGCTACCGCCATCGCTGGACGCGCTCTCCTGAGGATGCTGCTGTTGGTCAATTCGATCTCTGTCGTGGCCGTTGCCTCAAACGTGCGACGTCGTCGATGCGCGTCAGCGTCATCGACGAAGCGAGTGGACTCGCCACGTTCGGACGACGGGACGACGGGACGACGACACGACGTTCACGCCAAGGAGACCACCGTGGCCACCAGCGAGCCAAACTCCTGCCGAAGAGTCGCGTTCCCGGCCATGAAAACCCTCGTGGTCAGACGTTGTACTCCTGTAGCTTAGGAATCACTTTGGAATCATCAGATAAGCATCATGAATCATCCTAAGAATCGTAGGCTCACATCCTGTACCCTATATGGTGCAAGTGTCCATACGCCACTTTTGTATGACACTCACCAGTGGGTTATGTAGGTATAACGTTACAAGTGATCTTGCCCCTTTCTGCGGCCCTGAGCCTCGAAGCAGTGAAAGAGCGTGACGATCAAATCCTGGGATGTCTTCCCAGCCCGGAAAAAAACGACGTATCTTCCAATCGGTTTGTCCCCTTTCCCTTAACAATCACCAAAAGAGGGAAACAAATTCATCAACACAAGGTCTGTTCATCAAGGGATCCAGAATGTTCCAAGCACACCCATACATGGTGAAGAATCGAAGACGATAGACATAGAGCCGCAAGGAGACCTGCGCGGCCCCGGTTGGTGAAACACCGGGACGACGAGACCTTGCAGACGTAGCCGGTGGCATAGAGCCGCCTCCACGGCGAAAAGGATGCAAAAGAGCAAGTTCCTTCAGCAAGTGTTGTGCCATGGAACGACGTTGGTGAGTTTCTACATTGAACGACGCGGCAAAAAAACGAGTTTTCATGGGACCCATGGCATGTTTTCAAGGCAGCGCTTTGTCACATCAAGGAACAGCACGGTGTAGACAGGACCCGGATTCAAGCTGTCGCTTGTTGACATCACGTGGGTTTCTATACCTTGGACACACCAATGTCAGAAAGCTGAGGACTGAAATGCTCGCTTGAAACTTCAAAGTGCTTCCTGCAACATGCGAAGTCGGGTACGAAGCTTGAATGGTGTGGCCAAGAAGCCCGTGAGAAGGGAATGTAGCAGGACCATGCTCATCACAAAACAATCAAACCTGAGTTACGTTGGCGAAGCTGTTCGCCCTTTGTGCGGACACATCGGCACAAACAGAAGCTGTTCGCCCCACTCTTCCAAGTTGCCAAGAATTGCGGATGACCTTTCGCATCCGCAGCCGCCAACCAGACATAGCAGTAGTTGACTGTTCCTTGCAAACACAGTGAGAATGGAGCAGCAGCACTTCACAAAAAAACAGGGTGAGTTGAAGAAATCAAGTGAACACCACCAAATTACTTCCTGAAAGATACAAACCATAAAAAGCGCACACATCTCAATCTGTAGACTTTAAAATGTATGTATGTATGTATGTATGTATGCATGTATGTATGTATTTTTTTTTCTAGAGGTGCTTGCTTGTCGCGGGCCTTTGGCCGGTGTCGGCTAAGTGGCCGCAGGGCTTCTCAGATGTTCTTCGGCATCTAGAAGTAGTCGACGGCCAAGCCTGGCTCTTCTTCATCGAGCTTGTCTGCATTGAGGCTGGGTGTCATGGCCAAAGCAGACATACTCTGGGCGAGTTCAGCTTGCTCTTGCTCATCTAGTGCCGTTGGGAAGCTGAGTCTTCGTGGTGTTGGTCCTGAAGCGGAACCTGCTTCTAGAGCTGCCGGCTTCTGAGAGGTGTCAGAGCTGTGGCTGCTGGACTGCTCTGGCTTCTTTTTGAAGAAGTCACTGATGGGCGGTGAGCCCTTGGCGCCAGCTCCCTTACATGGTTTATGCAGGGCTTGGGTTGCTATGAGACGTAGCTCGCCATCCAAGTTCCAATGTGTGCCACATTGGGTACACTTCACCTTTTCCCCAGTTTGCCATAGTGCATGGCTGGGGTGGCCTGTGTGGGCCTGAGTGTAGGCTTGGTTGACACAGGGGCTCTGGATGAAGTTGTTGAAGGCGGCTTCATTGACTCTCTTGTGGACATTGATGCCACATACCAGGCATTTTAGGTATCCTGTGGTTTCTGCCAACTGGTGCTGACCCGGGTTCGGGTTTTCTGGTTGTTGATCCAGAAGGCTTTTGATCTGTTGAGCCCTGGTTGGCTTCCTGGAAAGGGGTGCTGGTGCTTCTGCTGAAATGGGTCCATCATCAATCAGCATTTGTGGGCAGTCCTCATTCAGCCTTGTCTCCAGTATCTCAGTCGTGAGGCTTTGATGCATCCGGATGCCGCAGCTGCGACATTGAAAGCCACTTCTTTGATGCGGCTCCCAGTGGTGATGGTTATCAGCCCACTGCTTTCGGCATCGGTTCACCAGCTCTTTTTTGTACTGCTTGGTGTGTTTGCCTTGATGCCGTGGTGCCTTCTGGTGCACATAGTGCATGTGGTCGGCATAGATCTTGCTCAGGCGGTTGACAGCATGCTCGTAAATGAGCTGGTGGTCTTGGTCCAGGGTTGCTTGCCACTCTTCCTGTTTGGCATCGTAGAAGGTTTTTGCCCTTTCCCATGCTGCTAGGGCTGCTTCTCTTTGTCTCCTTCGGAGTTGGGGCTCGTTAGCTGGAGCATCTGGTGTCCTGGTGTTCTTGCTGATGTAAAGTACCGTGACTCTGTGGTAGTCTTGGGGTGGTACGTCAGCAAGGAGGTCCATGTATGGGCCTCTGTGCTTCGGGTGGTTCCAGGCTTCCCAGACACTGACAAGCTGCACAATGACCTTGACTGGATCTGTGGTTTGGTTGGCCAGTGTTACTAGTCCGGCAAGCAATGCCCTGTTTTTGGTTTGGCTGCCGGTGGGTACACCGGTGAGTGTGCCCAGCCGTTTGAGTTGCCCCAGCGCCATGGTATGAGCACAAAGTCCATAGACCCACATCTGACTTCTAAGGTCGTAGGTGGAGGGTGTGGCATCGAGCGTGAAAGCCCACCCAGTGTGCTGTTGAAGGGGTATGACTGGTAATCCGGCCCAACAGCCGTGTCTTTGCACCGGGTGGATTGCCGTTCTGGCATCCTGTGGCTCCAGCGGGATCCATCCATGCGCCCAGAGGGGCTCTTCTTCTTGGTTGGTGATGCGGTTCATCCATTCCGCTGGCATGGGATCATGGTTCTGGTTTTTGTGCCACTTGCAAAGCCACAGGGTGTGTTTTGGTGTGGCTGGGACTCCACAGATAGGGCACGTTTTGGTCTGGTGTGCATCCCTGGTGTGGATTGCTGCTTGAACCCAGGTATCCAGATTGTGTTGTTGTGGGGCCTTGAGCTTCTTTCTCACTTGGCGGTATGTGTGCCAGTCCAAGCCTGTGAGTAGGTGTCCATAGTTCGATCTGCTGGCCAGTCTGTTTGTGCGTTGCCATTGTGCCTCCTTGGTGAGGGTGAGCTCAATTTGCCACCATGGAGCTTGGAGGTCGATCTGCTGTGCCAGCAGAAGCTGGGTTTCTGGTCGGCTCCAGTGTAGCAGTTCTTGCGGCTGCCAACCCCATTCGAGGAGGTACACTATGGTTGCAGCCAGTGGCCCACGGACGCTGTACCAGGGATATTGCTTTTGCTGGAGCTGGTGGTAGGTCTGTCGCCAGGCTTGCTCCAGGGCTGGGAGTTGCTCGGGTGGCCATGCTTGGACCAAGTGGTGAACAGCCTTGACGTGGTGTATCAGGACTTGATCACTGGGATCGATGTAGCGCTTGGCATGAATGTCATAGGTGACATCCAGCAGGCCTCCCGTATGGTGTCCAAGGTGTTTGCCCATGCCGTGGCGTAGGGCTGCTCGGTAGCGTGGGGCCAAACCTTGACTCTCAACTCCCCACAGTGCCACCGGTTGGATGCCTCCTCTGTGGAGTCTCAGACGGACTTTGAGGGCGGGAATTTTCAAGCTGCGCAACTTGACCTTGCGAGCTGTGGCCTTCTTGATGCGTTGCTTCATGACCGGGATGCGTCGTTTCCTGGCTGCTTGGTGGTCGATGCCCAGATCCCGCATGACCGGTGCGACTTGTGGTTCATCTTCTTGCAGGAGGGCTTTTAGCTCGCGCTCAGTGGCCTTGTCTGTGGCCACAAAGGCAGTCTTCTTGGGGTTGACTTGCAGGCCCAGGTCCAGAAGTCGCTTGTGTAAGTCCCTGTAGGCTTCGACTGCTGCTGTGGCTGCTTGGAGGGCTGTGGGACTGGCTGTATCGAATCCTACATCATCTACCCAGCTGGATAGGTGAATGGTGGGGTGTTGCTGCTGCCATGGTTGTAGGGCTGGTGCTAGTACTGCCTTCGCAAGCAGTGGTGCCTGGGGGCAGCCAGCCGGCACGCCGTTGGTCACAGTGAAAAAGGGTGTCATCTCTTGCTCAGCAACTATGGCTTTGGGACCATGGTAGACCTGGAGCGCCATTTCCAGCATGAGCGGAGGGTAGCTAAGCCGGAGTGCCTCAGTCTCGAGTCGTTGGAGATTGATGGTGTCATAGAAGGTTGACATGTCCATCAGGCAGGTCGCACCGTGCCGGCCATTGGCTCGGTGGACTTCTTGGCGCAAAAGCCGCTCCAAGGCCACGTACAGCACAGTGGCACCCGGTCTGGCTCGGTCGTGGTTCATGGCTGGTGGTAGATGTTGTTGCCAGGCATCCAACAGAGGTTTGCGAAGCCGACACCATACCCGGTACAGCAGTGAAGTCAGTGTGATGGGTCTCTCTTTGGCTGCATTTTTGGGAAGCATGACCACCATGTGCATTTGCTGTTGTGTGGGGAGTTGGACCCTTTCTTCCATCTCTTGATAGAGTGTCAAGAGGGCTTTTACTGCCAATGGTGGAGCTGTGCGCAACAGTTGAGCTGTCACTGCATCAGGGCCGCATGCCTTGTCAGGAAGGTGTCGCAGAGCCCAGGTCAACTGACTGAGAGTGAGCGGCTCGAGCTGTCGGGCTTGTTCTCTCGCCAGGCTGTGGAGATGGTCTCTGGCTGGTGGCCTGTCTTCTTGGTTGATTTGCCAGAGCTGCCCCCAATCTGTGAGCCTTTGGGTCATACGTTCATCCGGTGGCAAGGTCCTGTAGGGTCGTTCCCATGCCAGTTCACTACTGCGAAGACTGCGAAAGAGTCCTTTTAGGCCTTTGGTGTAGCCCTGGGTCAGCCAGGCTTTGTATTGGAGATGACTCTCATCGTTTGCCGCTTGTTGTGCCATTTGAAGTTGATGGTCAATGGTGTGATGGACCAAGTTGGCAGCATGACTGTCTTTGTATTTGTGCCAGTGGTGGCAGGTGTCGAGAAACTGGCCCCATGTCGGCGTGCCAACCCAGTGCTGTGGTGCATCAGCTGTTGCTTGCGTGAAGCCCTTGGTGGGTCCTCTGACCTGCTGGGGAGGCTGTTGGAGTGCAAGCCGGAACCTGGCCCGTAGTTGTTCCCAGTAGGCTGGTCTGCCTCTTTTCCACGTGGTGGTGGTGGTGATTGGCGCTAGAGGCTTGTGACTTGCCCGGAGGTTGGATCCTCTGCCTTGTGCAGCCCAGGGGTGTTCTTGTAATAGGTATTGTTCAGTGCAAGAAAGCCAGTCCGCCCAAGCTTGTGCCGTATCATTGACTGGGTTGCCATACAGGTCCAGCTCATAGGCAGTGGATTTGTAGGTGGTCCAAGGCCGGAAGTCAATGTCCGGTGTGGCCGGGAGCGGCGGGAAGTACTGGATTTGCCTGTATTCTTTGGTGGCTTCTTCAATGTTGAAGTGGTACGAGATGAGTGCATGCGGCCTCCAAGGTACAGCCCAGTCGGTAGTGAGGGAAGTGGTGCTGGCCAGCTGGTTATGGATCAGGGCATAGTCAATGACATTGCCGGACAAGAGGCTGGCGTCTGGCGAGAGGACCTCAAAATGGAATTTGGAGGGCAACACCGTGCTGGTGATGCTGCCAGGGCTGTTTTGCCAATCCCCCAAGAGAACGAAGGGGTGGTTGGTGGCCTGAACCAGGGCCAAAAGGCGGGCGAGGATGGTGGCATCACTTTGCAATGTTTCACCTGTCTTCATGTAGGTGCCTGCCACAAGGATGGTGCACTCGGTTGCCTGCCAGAGAAATGCTTGAAAGCCGCAGCCTTGGTTCGTGTAGGATTCCAAAGGAGTGAGCCCACACGTAGGGTCTGCTAACACCAGGATGCCGCCATGTGTGCCTGTGTTGCTTTCATTGGGGTGGGCTGGTGTGCCAAAGGCCGTTCTGCCTCTGATGGTAAAATATTGGCAGGTCTGTTGATGCTGCTGTGGATCTAGATGCGTTTCAACCAACACGTACACCTCGCTTTGTCGTGACCAGTACCAGTCCAGTACCTGTCTCCCAAAGTGTGTCACATTTGCAAAATGCAAATTGTTGTGCGGTTGCTCCACTCTGGCCTTCTTCTCCGGGCTGGGGTGGAGTGGAGGGTCGAAGTCCGGCTCTGCAGGTGGTGGCAGCGATCGGAGGACCTGTTGTGGAGTCTTGAAGGTGTCGATGTGCACTGCCCACACCTGTGTGACTTGGCTGGCCAGCTGTGGTGTCAAGTGCTCTAAGTGCATTGGCGGTTTGCCATCGTCAGCTATCCACATCAAATCCCTATAGATGAGGATGGCGAAGTAGTGTCCGGTGTTGTGACTCTTCCCTTGATGGCAAATCAGTGCTGCCGGCACAAACTCCGTGGATGCTCTGGCAAAGCCATCCAAGGATCTGGGAACGGTGAAGCTGCCATAGGTATTCACCAGCTTGCTGTGTTTTGTGGGGGTGCCATTGATCGTGGTGTTTCTGGTGAGGTGGCTGACCAATACCGGCTTGTCGTCCATCAAGTATTGCCCTAGTCCAGTGTTCGCCCATCCGTTGAAAAGGTCTTGGAGAGTGGTGACCTCTGGCCCGTCATCTGGAAAAGGGACCAGGATGGGTTGCTGGATGTGGTCGAGAAGGTATCCTCCTGGCTGGATCTCCGCAAACCTGTAGTGGAAGGCTCTTGTTTGGGAGACATTCCAGAGCGTGTTGACAAAGTGGTTGGCATCCCCCTCAATTTTGAGGTCGTGTTTCTTCCACATAGGTTTCAGGCCAGGAAGCTGCTGAATGTCCACAGCTTCCGCCATCTCTAAAGACTCCTGGACCGCCTCTTTGAGGTTGCCCCATGGCTGGGTGTTGGTCTCTTGGAGCAAGCCGCATGTCCAGGCAAATGCTCTCCATGGGGCATTGGCATAGCATCTGCTGCTAGGGTTGCCCACCGTCATCGTGAGGTTCTGAAGGATTACTTCCGTTGTAGTGGCATAAGCCGGTTCCATCTTGCCCTTGTGCTTGGCTGTGGTTTTCACCTGGCTACTGGGCTTTCGTCCTCCTTGGATGCAGACCACTTCTGGCCCCGGTGCACCCAGCGGCAACCCATGCGTCAGGATCGGAGAAGGTGCTGCTACAAAATTGTCAGACCTGTGTGGGTCTGTAGTATTGATCTCCATGCTTGCAAGAGTGGTTTCCCCTTCACTCTTGGTGGAGTCGTCCCCTAAAGTTGGATGTACTTGAAAAAGGTTCAGGTGTGTATGTGACTTGTCCCCTGCACATGTCACCTGCTGGACCCCTTGCGCTGAGTTTGAGGCAGCGCGGCAATCCCCATGTGATGGTGTCCAATCAACTGCTTCCCATGGTATGGACACCTCAAAACCTGGGAAGTCCTGGTGGCCATGGTGTGTCCTGTTACCCACACTCCCCTCCTGCTGGCAAACTGGGTGCATCAGTTTTCCGGCGCTTGCTGGGGTCCTCAACTTCACCTCCTGGCCGCTTAAGTAGGCCGTGGAGTTGACTGCGCTGTTCAGCAGTCAAGCTGATACCCAAACTGGTGACAAAAGTTTCAACTGCCATGGGGATGGGAAGCTCTGGATCTGTCACCTCAAGATCTGTCGGTGGTGGTGTCTTGTTGACTGCCTGCATGTACTGCTCGGACAAGGTCTTGAGCTTTTGTTGTCCATCTGTGAGCTTGGTCTGGTGTTCCTGCATGTCTTGTAGCATGCTGGCATATTGGCTCTTGACCTGATCTAGTCGGCCTTGGAGCTGTGCTTTCTTCATGGAGATGGTTTTGAGCTCGGTGACCTGGGTCTTTAGCTTCTGAGCCAGGGCTTTCTCGGTGTCCGGGATGGGCTGGTGCATTTTGTTGACCACATCCTGGACTGCTTGTGGAAGTTCCTTGAGATGGGTTTGCAAGACGGCCTCAAGCCCTGGCTCCTCTTGCGGGGGTGGTCCAAAGCCCAGGGTTTGGAGCTTGGTCTGAGCTTCAGCTGGGATGGCCTCCCAGGTGCTGGCTAAGATCTCATGGGCAGCCTGTGTGGGCATGGTTTTCTTGAGCGGCTTGAGCTTTTGAAGCCCTGGTGGTCTGTCGAGAAGATCTTTGGAGCTGGATCGCCAGCTGTCTTGAGCTCGTTGAGGTCTGCCCTGACCCTTGCCTTTGCCAATTCCTGCACGTGCTGAGGGCCACCAGTTGCCACATTTGCGGCATCGGGTGTCGGGACGTAGTTTGTCTTGCCAAATCCAATTCGAGCAATTGTGGCACACCACATAAGCTCTGCTCCATGAAGTGGGGGTGCTAGTCGTCATAGTGCAGGTGCTGGAGGAGGCGCCCTCTCGCTGATGTGGACTTGGTAGTCGATCAAATGGGCAAACAAGGTGGCACCGAGCACGTTCTGGCCGTACTAGTGTTCAGTGCTGTTGCCCCAATCAAATTCACGGAGTCCCGGAGGTTGAGGTGCCGGTGACAAAGTTCCTGGGAAGCCTGATCACCTCCTCTGGCTTTTCCTCTATAACGAGCAAAGACCAGTGCCCAAGTGGCAGCCAAGGAAGTAGGGTCTCCGTGCAGGAAGATGGGGGATATGTTCGAAGCGCTTGGGGCTTACCGCACTAGGTCGATTTGTGAGGGGCACGACCTTGAACACTTATGGCCTTGATTGTATGTATGTATGTATGTATGTATGTATGTGTAAAACGTTTATGTATTTACATGTACTTTATCTTTTACATGTATCTACGTAGAGACGTAGAGTACTGTATATCTATTTATTTGAGGGACACACAGAAAATCTAGTGCGCCAGAGGTACATCCATGCTGGTTTGTGGCACCAAGCCGAAGATTCGTTCTGCGGCCCCGGAGGTTCCTACACCAACCGACACAACGGCGCGATAGGCAACACGCCTGTATAAGGACCGCATTCTGATATTACAGTACAGTAGTTTCAGAATAGATGGCACAAACCCCGGGATGTCTTAGTGGAGCTTCATATCAACCACCGGCATTGGGGGCCCTGTGCCATCTACTCTGAAACCACTGTACATCTTCTTTGGCACATTCGTGACATGCACATGTTGCCACACCATGCAGTGCACATCATCCAGGTCTACCTTCTGTCTGGTCTCACCTGCTTTCTTGGAGCCCTTGGTCATTGAACGCTGCAAGTGCTTGAAACCTGCCAAGACGGTCACTGCGAACTCGCGGTCACTCTGTCGCACGACCGCGTCGGGCACGAGCGCGGGCACGACCGTCGGGCACCTTCACCATCTTTGTCTTCCTGAGCTCCTGCAAATGTGAATGAAGAAAAACACGTGACTGTGGCAGCCAACGGGTGCCACAGGGGTACCTTACCGCAGCCGGGGCCTTCAGAGCTTGGGGCAACTTGGCATTTGGTTGGCGCATGACCTCAGGTGCACCACCCAAGCCCAAGGTTGTTGAACAATGTTGAAAATCAATCATCATCAATCCACAGTTCAGCTGAGACACTGCCAGGGCTTGCTATCGTGGGCAATTCTGCGCCTTCATCTTGCAATTCCAGCAAAGCGCGGCTGGTGGACAGCGGCAATGGATAGTCCACCAAGCGCGGCTCATACCTGGAGGCACCGATTCAAAACCTAGGACCTATGCGCCCAGGTGGCACTTCCCTCTTCAAACTCGCCGGGCTAAGGCACTCTGACGTCGTCTTCTGCACCGGCTCTGCCCAAGCCATGGTAGGAGCTCGGCGAGAGGCCTTGGAGGCCACACTTTGGTGACGTCTTTCTTGATAGTCCTCATAGCCGTTCCACGTGCACAGTAGATGGAAAAAATCTTCACTGTCACTGAGCCATGAACTGTCACAAACCCCTTACGGTTCCCCAAAGTTCGATGAATGCAGTTTCCGGCCGTTTGACGTCATCAGGGTTTGATGTGATTCATCCCATTCGGCCCCACACTCTGGAAGCCTTGCCAACATTGAGTCTTGGGATGGATCCGGGGTCAAGTATGGTCAAGTGGTTTTGACATGTCATCCATCTACAGTAGGCTTCAAGCTGGACGCCAGATCCACGCCAGATCCACTGGCGTAGTCGCCCCAACGACCCGGGTCGTCCTTTTGACGTCCATCTCCGGCCCGTCTGGCCGTCTCGCCCGTGCGGCCGCGGACCGCGGACGGTGGCCCTCGGCGTCCAGGCCGCGTTCGGCCACGTGGGCCACGTCACTGCCGAGTCGTGGATGGGTTCGTTCTCCTGCACCTGGCCGGGCGAAGCAGGGCGAAGTTCGGGCGAAGCAGGGCAGTGCTCTAAATGAACTGCCGGGCTTTATAGGGGTCACATGGATCATAGCCACCTTCAGGCTTGGCCAAGGGAAGACAGACACGAAAAAGGCGATCCATTTGGGCGGATGTTCCCATGAAGCTTTGATCCACGGGTGGCCGTCCAACAACACACCAAAGCACCACCCACAAGATCTTGTTGCCCCGCGGCGCCTTCCGCACCAGGGAAGCCGCAGCGATCTCCAACTCAACGGTCACTTGGCGGCAAATGTTCCGACACAGATCTCCTAACCTCAGTGGCAGGGCCCCAACCACCTCCTGTGTTTTTTGAGACAGTCTCCCCACACAAGTGGATGTGCCACACGGACAAGTTCGCAGGATGATCACCCTCTATCTACTTTCCGGTTCAAGCGAGGAGCCTCTCATCTGCGCGCCTCAAGATGGCATCCGACAGCTCCTCTATGCTTGTTTGAGAGGTACTCATGATGGTCCTGGCACCTTGAACCTAAATCCTGCCGACGGTGCATCTTTGCTCAAGAACACCCAGAGAGACGGATCAGGCTGATGTAAATGGGGTTTTTGAGAAGTGTTTTCTTCACGACGGTGTTGGAAACAAGCCAGTTGGCAGAACAAAACGTTCAAACGTTCAGTGACACATGGCAGAACGTGAAGTACTCATCTCTTGGAAGCAATGCTGGCCATCCGACCCAGATATTCATGCCTATTTTGAGCTTGCGATGCTGGACAGAATGCACACCAGGCTGCCTCCGTCTTTCCGCAACTTGCTGGCACTTTCGAGCCCCGGGTGATCCGGATCGTCGGGTTGATGTGAGATCTAAGGGATCTGCTTGATGATATGTCTATGTATATATATATATATATGTATCTATCTACAACGCCTGCACTATCTATCTATCTATCTATCTATCTATTCGATCCATCTATCTGCTCTCAAACGGAAGCCCTCGGAAGGGTGTAGCTGAGTCAAACTGTTGTGTTGCAAGTGCCATTTGGTCGAACTCTTCGGTACAACCCTTCAAAGCGTTTGCTGTAATGTCTCCAAGCTGTTCTTTGACATGTCAAGGAAAAAGTATGCGCCCAATCCCAGCGAACCCAGAAGTTTCGAAAGCTCTCGGCATGCAGGTGAGCCAGCTTGTTGCTTTGGACACTTAGCCGCTCACACCTTCAACACCTCCAAAGACCTTTGCTGGCAATGTCTGCAACTCATCAGCTGACAAGTCTGGAACAGTCTTTTCAAGGTGAGCCAACTTGTAGAGAGAAAACTGAAGCACTGAACACCTTCAAACTTTCCAGCATAACGGTGGGCAAAGTCCATCAGTTGAGCCAAAGGACACCCCAAAGACAACGCTTCCAAGCACCACAGCCACGAGGAGGAAGTGACTGCATACGAAATTGAAAACGCCATCCTCTTCCGGGCTCCAAGGTTTATATAACTACTCATTTCAGCGCATTGGTCTTTTCATGTCTTTTCCAGATCCTCATCCAGCTTTGCCACTTCAGGCACCTCTCCTTCCGCCGCGATATTGGTGTGCGCAAGCCGGCATCGAGAGTTGTTCATGGCTTGAGTCTTGACACGGGTCGAACCGGCAGCACAAGTCCGCACTGTTTAAGCACATGTCCACCGAAACCAGTGAATGGTCACTCGAACAAAAAAATCCAAAACAACGTCATGATACTTCAACTCAAATTCAAACGGATAAATGAATGCACAAATGTTATCTTCGCAAACTGTTGACGTGTTGAAGACGTCTATCAGAATGAGATGCGCAGAAAGCTATCCAATTTTGTAGTTTCGGCAAACCCTCCGGCGCTATGGTAACAACTTCGAAGGGAAACGAAACAATACCGGTTGGAATCGCAATCCCTCCAATTAGTGGACATTGCAGTATGGCCCACTTGGCTGTCCTGAGCCCAAATGCGGTAAGGTCTTCAAAACTCACATTGCCACGAAGCATGAGTGCAGGTAACGCAACACCATGTCTGCCGACTCGACCGTCAAACGTCAAGTACAAACAACAGGCTCGCCATAAGTTCAACACAAACCATGCACAAATTGTTGCAGTATGTGCCCCCGAACCGTGATGCGCACCACTCTGGTTCGGTACTTTGTTTTGGATCCGCAGCTGCGTCACCATCAGCTCACACACAACACGGAGAGCCCGTGGCTCCAGGATGGCAGACGTTAAAAGAACGAGGCCATCCCCACCCCTTCGACAAGGATTTTTGAACGCGGCCCCTGAAAACGCGCAACCTTGTCGAACCCCAAATTGAAATGATTTCCGTGGGCCAGTACTCCATCAACAAAAATATCTTTGGAAACAAACCATGGAACGCAAACCAAGAAATTGGTGTTTTGGCTTGTTGGGAAAAGACAACTACCGCAAATCAACCTTTGGTCAATTGTGGCCCAGTTGCTGGATCACTGGTCGATCCATAGCTATGGCCTTCAGCTTTTCGTGGGCCACACTTACTAGCCGGCATCGCTTGGCAAGGACCCGGCAAGCCTTCTGGTCGATGGTTTCAACCTAAGACAACGCGGCAAAATGCTCTGCTTGGTTGTTTTCTTTGAAAAAAATCCGCGTCTTCCCAGTTTTTCCTACTTAAACTACACGTGCAAACACCCGTGTGAGGTCCACGCAAAACCATGCAAACGCTGCCCTGCCACACCTGATGTTGTGAAGGCCAAGTGGCAGCCAGCCGTTTGGCACAGGCGTGGGTGATTTGGCTCACCGACCGGTCGAATCTCAGCTTTGCAAAGGTCTTCTTCACCTTCTGGACCTTGCTTGACATGTCAACCCCCTGCGAACAAACCCTATTTAAGTGTACCACTCTCAATACAAGCGTACGGCGCAACCATAGGACCCGTAGGACCCGTGGTTGAAACGACATGCGGTTGCAAGGATTGCCCTCTGCTCATCTCATGTTCCGTGCCAGGACATGTCTGCTGAAGATTGGACATGCCCAGAAACGGAGCTATGTGGCTCAGCACTTGAAGAATCAGACGTATCATCGTCCTGATGCGGAAGGAACCAGAAACGAACTTCAAGGAGGCAGTGGCCCTTCAAAATACAATGCACGCTGCACCAACAACATTTTTCCTGTTCAAGCTTGCCGGGTTTCAGCAATCCAGGTTGTCTTGCGACTTTCAAACTGAAGCATTGAGCAAAGATGCCACTCATACATACACACACACAAATGCGCAAAGGCTTCGAGACTACCACTTTTTTGGCGCAACCAACCTGAATCTACAATGTTGCACATTGGAGCGACCGAAACCGCTGCCAAACTTCATGTGACTGATTGTAATTTTTGGCGGGCTTAAACTTTTCCAGCTGCATGCCCGACACACTCTTACACTGACCGGTTTGGAAAAATATTATGCGAAGAAATGCGCAAGGGTTCGCACACACGCATCAAAAGTCAAACCGAAAAAACATGTCCACTCTCTTGAGCTGTTCCTACACGCACTGCTTGCTGAGCCAGTCCTCCAAATTTGCTCGCATATCTGCCAAGCAATCCGCATCTGCAGGATCTAAGTCAAGATGCTTCTCAGCGCAATCTGCTGCTCTGCGCGCCTGCACCACCCAAGGTTTCACGAACGCTGAACAACGCTGAACACAGGACGTTGGACCCATTGGGCTCATCAGGGAACAATTAACACGCGCATCTTGCTCCCAAACCCGACCGCGCAACTGACACGAACCTTGTCCAAGATCTTTTGCCATCCAGCCTGGACGGTAAACACACTCAACCAACTGGCCACTGGGTTGGGTCACCAAGAATCTAAAATGGGCAGCTGCCACAAATCGGAAGAATGCAATGGTCACCAAGAGTCTCAAAACCTGACTCTACCTCAACGAAAAAATATTCCAAAAGGTGTTTCAAGTGGCTGGCGGAAGGGTAGTGGTGCTTCTTGTGGCAGATCGCCAGAAATAGCTGCCCAAAAAGTTGTTTCCGAGCCCCTCCGGCAAAGAACTGCCTGTGACCATGCAGAGTGTGCTGGGTATATAACTTGGGTTGTTCCCGCAAGGGTCAAAATAGAAGAGAAAGTCAGAAAATCGGACAAAGAAAAACATGTTTTCAAAGTCCGCCAGGCCAAGAAACATATCAAACGGACTTGGACCGTCCTCTCGCCAGGTGGCAGTCCAGCATGACTGTCGGCGCGGTCCACACGGGACTTGTACTGCTCAAATTCAGTCGCTGTCAGGGGGACGTCCTCGAGGCAAAATGAAATAGCAAATCATGCCAACGCTCGTTGCCTGTATGCTTGCACTTCTCACAGTGTCAAGCAACACCGAGCAAACCCAGGTCCATGCGCATTGCGCGCTCATGGGGTGTCCAAACGAACCTAAATACTATAGCCGGCGTGCGCGTGGTGAACTTGGTTGGAGTGCGGCTTTCAAAAACAAACACAGGCACCATGGAAACTGAAACCCAGAAGGAAAATTGAACTTTTTGGTACACACCCCGATCTAAGTGTTCTCAAATCAAATGTCTGAAGCCCCAGGCCCATTGCAGCAAAGGCTCCACCAACCACCTTAGTTTGAGAGGTAACCCACAACCATCCAATCTGAATTGACAATGGCTGTTCTACCTAATTCTGGCGTGGTCTACCAACATTTCATCACCGTCCAAGAAACTGTTCTCGGACGTTCAAAAAGCTGCAACCTTCGCCCGCTTCCAACGCCTCTGCCACCAACACGCGGAACTGCTCGCCGCGCAAGTTCGTGCGGCGGCAGTTGAACTCAGCCTCCGCACCAGTCAACGGTTCCCACCGCACACGGACTCCGCATTGAAACACACACACATTCATGTATTAAGTCGGTTCGGTCGGCTGGGGAATGAACGTACAGGTTTGGGAAAAGACTTCGGCGCAAAATGTCCATCAAAACAATGGCACACAAACTCTGCTGCCAACAGTCCGCCTTGCTTAACACCCTAAATCTTCAAGGACAGCCTTCTGGTCCAAGGTGGCAATGCCGAACAAAGCACCACACATGTTGCGCAGCAATTTCAAGAAGAAATCGTAGCCTGGCGCTGGAATCTGGAAAATGAAACCATCTGCTCGGGTTTGAAACAGCAACCTTCATTTTCACCTCAAGCTGCATTGCATGCAAGCGAGCAGCCTGTGTTCTTGCGAATCAAAATCACAGTCTTGCATCGGCTCCGATCTCTCATATACGTTGCCAAATGGTGGAGCTTGGATGCGTACTGCTCCGGGCAATTCAACGCGCGGCACTCGAACATGGGCTGTCGCATGTGTCCTACAGCGACTTCCAGGTTTGTGTAAGCTTGGAGCGTCCGGTCGTCTTTCCGCTCCGCCACCTTGCCAAGGGGTCAGGATGAAAACATATATACTATATATATATATATTATACGTATATGTACAATATGAACCCAGCTTTGCAACCCAACAGCAGGTAGCAACTCAATTGACTAGGGCTTTTCAATCATTCTGCATATGCGTTGCTTCTTCACAGCACCCAAACCAAACCCAAATCCACTTGCTAAAGGCAA